ATATTAATAAAGATCATGCGAGACTGCCGCACTTATAAAAAAAAAAAAAAAAAAAAAAAAATCATTTTTGCACATCATTTTTAGATGTAATATCACTCTCCTTTGAGATTTTGCGTCTGCGCAAAAATATTCAAAGCTTCATCAACTAATTCATTAAATTGACTTTTAGATACCCTTAGGATTAGATTGAGAGTTAAGTTTCGTGATTTAGCGATTTGGGATATTCCTAGTACTTCATAAAGATAATAAATACAGACTGAGGCCAAATAGTAATGTCGAGTTATTTCCTTAATATAAGTTGCTCATGTAGTCACATTTTCCAAAGTTTCAAAAAATTGGCCTAAGTAAAAAGCATTAATCAAGAAAGAAATACAATTATGGATTCGTTTAGCTCTAAACATTGCTCTTGTAATAGAATAGAATTTCTCTTTTGTGTCCATTTCGTCAGTATAAGGTGGAGGGTATGGTAATGAATCAACTGGTTCAGTCTGCTTAAGGTTGTTCAAAAGGAGTTGGTAAGGAGTATTATTCATTAAGAAGATGTTGAAAGTATCCATTTTTCACCGACTTGTGAGGGAGGGCTTTTCAATGGCTTTTTATATTTAATTTTATCATTCAATTATCACCATTGGTTCAGGTAGAGGTCGCTGGTGATAAGGTTTCAGCCGTGCACCATTAATTGGTATTTTCAAAATTTTTCTGTCCATTGTTCTTAATTTGTAAACTCCGTTCTCTAAATCTGCATGGATGTAATAAGGTCCAGTCCAACGATCGTCCAATTTTCTTTTTCCTTCGATCTTAGTTTCATACTTTAATACTAATTGTCCTACTTCAAATTTGTAATCAGTTTGCAGATTTCTATCATAGCGCTCCTTTTGTTTTTGCTGTGCCACTGTTATTCTATTTTGTGTCTCCTTGATGTTATCCTTCATTCGTTCAGTTATTCGTTATACTCTCTGTAGTAAATCATTTTGTACGTCATCAGATGATGATTTAACATTTTGTGTTTCCACCTGAAATTCGATTGGCAATATAACGTTTCTTCTATAGATTAAATAAAAAGATTCATGTCGTGTTATTTCATGTTGCTTAGTTCTGTACGCAAAAAGGGCTGAGGGAATAAACATATTCCAGTCATCATTATTATCATTTGTAAATTTGGCTAACGTTTCATATAATGTTCGATTGAAACATTCAACAAGTCCATTTGTTTGTGGATGGTACGCAGTTGATAGTTTATGCTTTACTCCTAGTTCATCGCACAAAGAATTTAACATTTTATTTACAAAATGCGTTCCTTGATCGGTAAGAAGTTCCTTTAGGCAACCGTGTCTATAAATGATATCTTCATAAAAGAAAGAAACAACTGACTTTGCTTTTGCATCTGATATCGCTTTGGCTTCTGGCCACTTTGTTAAATATTCAGTTGCGACAACTATATATTTGTTTCCTCTTTTAGTTTTTGGCAAAGGTCCAACAATATCCATTCCAATTCGATCAAAGGGTTGTCTAACTTTGATGGGATGTAGAGGTTCTGTTCGTTTATTTTTGTCTCGTCGCTGACAGGCATCACATGTTTGAACATATTGTCGTACGTCCTCATACATCTGGGGCCAGTAATATCTAATCTTCACTCTTCTATAAATTTCTTCAAGGGCAAAGTGTCCTGCTAAAGGATCTTCATGTAAATTATACAGGATGTCATTAACTTCATGTTTACAAACTACTTTAAGAGGTCATTGTGGTTCCTGTTTATTTCGCTTGTACAATTGACCATTGATTACAATAAAATATCATGCTTTACGTTTCGTTGCTGCTTGTTATTTGTTGTCAAAATGTGTTGCCATAGAAAGTTCTGTTAAGTATTGAATTAAACTAAAGTATGTATCCGAATCCATTATTTCTGTTAAAATCAAAAAGCCGTTATCAAAAGAGGTGTCCGTTAAGTTTTTTGTCCTGTTAGTTATAAAAATAAATAAGTCCTTAATGTTGTATTCGACTTAATGTATCTATGTTTATATATGATTTTCCTGGGCGATTAAGTATTTTCATGTTATATCCGTTTAAAGTCATAAGCCAACGTCCAAATTTGCCAACTGGATTCTTCATGTTTTTAAGATATACTAAAGCAGCGTGATCAGTTACAACAACAAATTTTCGTCCATGTAAGTAATGATGAAAGTATTTGATAGATCAAATTACAGCAAGACATTCCAATTCAGTGATCGAATAGTTTTGTTCATGTTTGTTAAGAGTCCTGCTAGCATAAGCTATTACTCGTTCTTTTTTGTCATCTTCTTTTTAAGATAGAATAGCTCCAAGAGTATAAGTAGAAGCATCGGTATATAAAATATATGGTTTGTCAAGATCAGGGTATGCTAAGATTGGAGGGAAAGTTAAACAATCTTTTAAATTTTCAAATGCCTTTTATTGATTAATCGTCTAGTGATAGGAAACATTCTTTTTGAGAAGTCTATTCAAAGGTTCAACAATAGTAGAGAATCCTTTTATAAATTTTCTGTAG